GCAGGGGCTGTTGGCTCCTTGCTGGTTGCAGCCACCAGGGGGCACTCCCATCCCACTAAATGGTACTTCAGTTATCTAGCAGTGTGCTTTGTGCTCAGCACTTCCCACACATTTCACCGAACCCTTCCAACCCCAGGGGATGGATACTCTCATTCAACCCACTTTAACAGTGAGAAAACCCAGACGTGGGAGGTTAAGTGATCTGCTCAGTCCCTTGGCTGTAAGGCCCCCTCACACACCCCCCCCTCCAGAATCAGCCCTCACTCTGGTGTCGGGTGATGGCCAGCACGAGGAAGGTGCAGAAGGTGGCAATGGAGACAGCCGAGAAGAGGACACCCACGAAGAAGAAGCCACGCAGCCCCTTGAGCCAGGTCCTCCAGTAATCTTGCATGTACATGACGTGCGTCACCAGGACCCAAAGTGCCAGCACACCTGTGGGACAGACTTGGTCAGAGGGATAGACACCAACCCTCTTCCTCCTCCCTGTCTCCAGCCAGGGATCTCAGGGCCCTTTCCGTCCCCTAGGCCAGACTTATTTGCATAATACCAAGGTATTTGGTCTTTTCAGTCTCATTTTCTCATGACTAAGAAATGGAGTTTTCTGAGGCTACAGGGCCTGTCATATCACGAGGACCCGATTGCAAAAGCAGATAAAAGAATCTGTCTTTTATTCAGTCACACAGGAAAGAAACTGGCAAAAATATAAAACCATACCATTCTCTCTAATTTTGTTTTGGAAAACATGACTATTTCCTCATACACACATATACAAAATGTTGAGTTAATGTAATGTTATTTTTAATATTACTTTACAATACTTAAAATGTTCTCAGTTTTAATTTTCTAATATGGTACATATCAACAGAAATAACCCATATAAACATTTTCTTGGGGTTTCACTATTTATCTAGAGTGTGAAGGGGTCCTGTAGCTGTAAAGTTTGAGGACAGCTACAGTCCAGCCTGTTTTTCTAGGGACTTCCCACTGCTGACCCTGAGGGCCACAGAAGTGGGAAGCAGTCCTCCACCCTGATGCTCCTCCACCTGGCCCACAGGGGCCACAACCTCAAAGTTTCAAGACCTTCTTGCTCGTGGCCATACTCCATGTCACTCCCTCCAGTTTGCTGCAAAGGGCAGGCCAGACGCCCCCAGCCTTTCCTGGGCCCACTCTTTGGGCCTGGCTGGGCATTACCCCTACAATGCCAGCTGCTGCTCAGCCAATACAATGAGTGCCCTCTGTGCCAGGCCGTGCCTGCCGCTCAGCCTAAAGAGTGGCACAAATATCAATTCCATTGGCAAGGGTCTGGAGGAAAGAGGCAGAGCTAGCTGCAAGCCTGGTGCCACACAGGCCGAGGGTCCTAGGAGTCAGGAGACCTGTGCACACATGCACAGGAAGGATGGCCATCTGGATGGGGAAAGTGGTTGGTTATCTGTGGCAAGAAAGAAGAAAGGGAAGTTGATAAGGAGGTGGGGGTGGGAAGAGTGACTGAATCTACATTTTATTCCTTTGGCTGGGTGGTAAGTATAAGAGAGTTTGTTAAATCATCTATACTTTTTCAGATGCCCAAAATATCTCATAATTTTTTAAGTTAGGAAACACAAAAGGCAGAGAGGAGTGTCATCACAGAGCTATGCTCTGGTTACCAGCTCAGAAGTTGACACAATTTAGGCAGCCTGGCTCAGGACTAAAGCCACGAGAATGCAAGCCGGGAAGCCTGGGCCTGGCACTGTTGTGCCACTCGTGACCTTTCACAGCCTCAGTGTTTCAAATCTAAAGATGGTTAAGCCCAAAGATCCCGCCAGCATGGAAACTTGGCGCCTCCAGGGTTCCACCCAAGTGGGGGTGCAGCCCCGCCAACCCCCGCAGCTTCCCCTCCCACCCTATTTCACCAACACTCTCCCAGCCCTGCCCCTGCCCACCCCAATCTTACAAGGGAACTGGGGGCCTGGAATGTGGGTCCCTCCACCCCAGAGATCAGGATGAGCCCCGACAAGCATCTCTCCATCCAGGCTGAGGAGGAAGTGGGAGCAGGCCATAGGTGAACAGAGGAGCATCCCACAGCTTCAGCTCACATCTTAAGCGATCTGGATTGTGTGCCAGCCACGCTTCCCAGAGTCTATCTCTTCACATGCATCCTAAGTGTTTATTTGGGGGAGCCATGTGGTTTCTTAAAGGGACCCAGGAAGGAGGCTTATTGTCACTGAGTGCATTTGAGGAACAGTCAGAATGGCACCTGTCTGGGACAGCCCCACTTGCCCTCTGTCTCCTTAATATGCCACAGAGGGGCTAGAGTAGCTCAGCTCTAAGATCTGCCACTCAAAGATTCTGAAAGCTAGCTCAGGAGAAAAATAAGGTCAGAGCAATTCCTCTGTGACTCAGCAATTTCTGGGTTAGGAAATGCTCAACTAGGGGTCGATGGAAATGCCATCTCTTAGTCCACTGACCATGCTCCAGTGGTGCCCCCAAAACACCCACCCCCACATATACCCACATGCCAAAAAGGGCTGAGCAGAGGAAAAGGATGACGGCTATTTTGGGTGTTCCAGGGCTCAGTCCTTTGTTAATAAGCAGGCACAACCTTCCCCACCTCTTACTTCCCCTGCACACAGGCCTCACCTCCAGATAAACACATGCCAAGTCTGGAAGCAGGCTCAGTCTCACCCACCCTGGCTCTCATCACTTTCTGTGGAAGAAGGATGTCCCCCACCAACTCTACCCAAAGGTGCTCAGTGAAGGAGCAGGATCCCCCCTCTGGCCCCTCAGGCAGGAGGCAACTTCCTTTAGCCCCGCTCCTTTCCCTAGGGCATTGTGGGCTCCAGGAGCCTGGTCCACACAATTCAGGGCAGATTGGACAGATCCCTGGGCCCACCAGATGCATGTCCATGCCAGACCTCACCCTTCACTCCACCCCACCTGCTTCAAGGAGCAGACAGCCTGCTCCACTCAGGGCTCAGGGGAAAAGCAAGGCCCAGAGCCTAGTGCTCCTCTCGCTCACAGCTCTCATAGGAAGAACACAGCCATTTAGTTCCTGGGGCAACTTTTCTATTCTTTCCTTGTCTCCTAGATGTAGAGCAAGGGTGTGTGTGTTTCCCAAGGATTCCCACAGCAAAACTATTTCTTCGGCAACTGCCTTTCCTCCAAGCTTCTTCCCAGGTGCCACCAGGATGGGAAAGAGCGGATCTCCACCACGAACGCTCTTCCCGCTGGACCCAGGGACTCCAGCTAACCCTGCCCCCGAAACCAACACCCCCACTGGCCACTGCCTGGTACTCAGGGAGAAGGAACACACTAGGGCTGCCTTCTGGTGACTCGGCAGTTTCTGAGCTGAGAAATGCCAAGTCAGAAGTGGGGTGCTCACAAGTTAGTAAATTCGCTGATGCATCACCCCCAAAAGAGGAAGAAGTCTGACTGGCTACAGACTCTCAGAACCCACGTGCGTAGCCCTGGCCTGGCAAGCCCTCCCTCGCCCCACCACCACACCACCACCACCACCACCACCACCACCAGGTAGCTTTGGCTCTTCCATGGCCACCTCCTGGTTGTCGAAGCCAGGCTGTCAGGGAGGCAACAGGACCCTGACCCTGCTGGTTGCTGCCCTAGTGGCTCTTCCTGCAGGCAACTCCACAGCTGGCCTGCCTCAGAGGGAAGCCCTCAGTGAGGGAGAGAGGGCAGAGAGAGTTTAGGTCAGAGGGAACCCCAGGACTCCCTGAAACATAAGCCAGAGGACCTCCAACTGCCAAGTCACCAGAAGGCAGTTGTGAGATGAATGAGAGAGTACACAAAATGGCAACATTTCAGACTTGAACGGGGGTTCTCTGAGATCATCTCCTTCACTGGCATCTCCCACTCCTTAGAGAGGAGGAAACTTGAGGCCCAGGAGGCATCCATGGGCCCAAGCTAGCTAGGGCTCACTGCACCAGGCCAGACTCTAACAAACCCAGCTCTGATCCCGGGGATGCCCCTCCCTCCTCACCCCTAACCAGCACTGCACCCCCCTCAGGTCTTATCAGTACAACCATAGGGCTGGCCTGAAGACACCACCTTTCTGAGGGAAAAGCAGCAGGGCTCAAAAGAAACAGGAAAAAACTGCAAGGAGAAGAAAACCAGGAGAAACACGGTAGATGGGGAAGATGCTGGGGTGGAGGGAGAGTCAGGGGTCTGTAGATAGGTGAGCAGATAGGCCTGGCTGCCCCCAGGAAGAAGAGAAAGCCACAGGTGGTGGAGCATCCAGGCAGGCATGAGAGCAGCCCAGCCAGGGCACCCACCACCCTTCTTTGGTGACTCCCCAGTGCTCTGCTTGGCATTGTTTAGGCTGTGGCTATGTATGCCCCTCTTATAAGGCAGAACTCTCATCTCTCGTTCCTTCTCTATCCAGGATGGCTCTCAGTAAGCTCGGGGGGCAATGAGTAAATCTAGGTATTTGTCATTAGTTCATTTAGGGCTCTTTGGGCAGAGGATTTTAGTAATGGTGTAAGATTATCTATCATATGTAAAAGCATTATCCTTACATGTATTTTTTTCCCCAAAGTTCTTTTCCCACACATATTATTTCATGTAGCTGTGTAACCCCAGGCAAGCTATTTATTTACTCGAAACCTCAGTTTAAGCCTTACCTGTAACATGGGCACAATAATAATGCCTCCTTCACAGAACTAATGTAAAGATTAAATGAGACGATGGAAGCAGATTGTTTAACACAGTGCCCCACACGTACAAAGCATTTTTAAAAAGTCAGCAAGTAGAAATAACATGTTTCATTTTCACACCAATTCTACAACACAGAAAGGTTAATGGCATGCCCAAAAGGTGCACAGCGAGTGCAGAGCATTGGGGAGCGCCGGGTTCCACCAGCGCACCGACGCTCTCCCTCTAATTGCCTCCCGGTACCTCCCAGAGGCAGAGAAAGGGCGGCCAGGGCGGGCGAGCAGATATTGGCGGAGCCACACAAGGGTGGCGGAAACAAAATGTCCTGTTTCCATCAGATCCCTCGAGTGCTCTCCAGGTCTCCACTGAGGACTCTGCCGGGCGGGGGCCACACTAGGAGGAGGCAGGTGGGCTTCCCCAGGAACGCCCAGCCCTCCTTTCCACTGACTCCTCTGCCCTCACCCAGCCCCCAAGGAAGAGGCGCTTAAGGGGCGGGACCCCCAGAACAGGTGTGTGCGTTTGGAGGGTCCTCACACTTAGCCCCGTGAAGCGCGGGGGCGGG